GCACCTATATTCGGCCTCCGACGAAGAAAATGAAACTGTAAAAAATTAACCTGCTCTTGATACCATGATAAAATATGGAGAAAATATAAATATTTGGCTTAGCTTTCTCATTAATCTTGACAGAATATATAATAGCTACAATCCTCATATACCTAGAATCAAAGATATCCTAGAATCTTAGGAAGTTAACTATAATACACAAGATAATATTTGGTAAATAATATCTTCCCAAAAATATATTATATGATATATCCTAATAATTTCTTACGGTACCTTTTATGATTTGCATGTGAATTTCGTTCATTCCAAATTAATTCGTTCCATCCAATTTGGTGGTGAACTAACATGGTCCACTAAATTCGTCTAATTAGCTAATTTAACACCCCCTACAAATTATTAGTCAGAATTAAACTAATAATTCATAATAGACCATTAGGCCATCATAACATTAAAAATCCAATGTTGGCCTTGTCACTTAAAAGTCATGAAAACAAATTTTATTAAAAAAGCTTAAAGAGGAGGGAAATTTCCTTATTTTTCTCTCAAACTCCAAATGAATTAGATTTGTCAAATTAGACTATGGACTGTCTATAATCTATCTTCTATAACTATAACTAAAATAAAAACCGCTTACATCACCACCGTACACATATCAGTTTCTCATAAAAAAATTTCCCTCCAAAATTGCTTATGACATCATTTATATCATATTTTTCTCCTTTCAAATTCAATATTAGGAAGATAATTTTTAATAAATAATTAAAGTGTGAACATCAATTAACCAAAAGCGTATTAGTGAGATTTTTATTTCCAAAAACCCACATTTTGTGAATTAATTATTTTATATTGCATTGAAATTTTTATTCTAATTAGTACATCGCACGAGTGCTAATCTAGTATTCACATAAAAAAAGCTACCAATTTAATAAAGTACTTCTTCACACCTTGCAAATTGTAAAATAAAATTAACAACACTGAATTCCAAAATAAATAAAATAGATGGCCTTGTCAAAAAAATAAAATTAAAAAAAAAAATTAATCATGAAAGAAGTATATAAAATAATGTAATAGATTATCTTAAATTAACCATGACTTGAGTTGACCTACAAAAGATAAGAAAATTCTTACAAATACATTTAAATTAGAAAGTTCCACAAATGATAATCCATTAAACTCTCATCTTCCAAATATTCCACAAAGGAAACTACACTACACTTCACTCTCAACCTCCTACACAAAAAGACTAACAATACTATATAACACCATTAAACTCCCTATTTTTCCATCTTACTAAAACAAAACTCTCAACCTCCTACTCAATCATCCATGTTGGAGCTATAATTTCAGCTCAAGGACTCAAAAATCCCTCCTCATGTTTACTCTTCTCTCACCACCTTAAACCCTTTATCACCATCACCACCTTCCCCTCACCATCATCGCAACCGTGTCGCAACACCAACAAGGGCTATAATAGTAGTTGTAACGTGCACACGACAAGGGTGTATGATGGAGGAGGTCCTAATCCTACATGGGGTGACAAGTTCCTTTTACCACTAGATAACACTTTCTTTACTAACAACTACTCTTGTGTTTATCTACAATTCTTTAGAAAACGGGCCTTATTGGGCCCTGCTTTGATGGGCTGGATCCAAATACCTGGTTCCGATATATCTGATGGTCATTTTCCTCTTGGGCTGGCCCATCACTTGAGTTACCGGTTACGGGAAAGAGACGGTTCAAGAGGGCATGGGGTTGTTAATGTTGCTTGTAAGTTTGTAGGTGAAGTTCCGGTTGCACGTCAACCTTGCAGTGCAGGTGAAAGACGTTTGGCGGCTGTGGACACGTGTAAGGCGGTGATTGGTATACCGGTGACAGCGTGGCCAAAGAAAACCAAGTGTAGAAATAAGATGGACAATGTAGCACGTACTTGTTATAAACAATAGACTAGATAACGAGAGTGCATGTCGTTAAACATGTGGGTCTGCAAAAACTTGTATATAAAGAGTCGATTGTACATTTATATTTTATACTCCCTCCGTTTCATATATACTGTTGTAATTTGTAAAGGACGTGGTGTGATTGGTGTCTTAGTCATTGTTATAATTAACAAGTTGTTAAAGTCGTTTACAACTTTTTACAAGTTGAAGTGCGTAACTCTATAGGGATGACTCGGTCATCGCATCTTTTAAAACCGTCCGTTTCATACAAGATTTGCGGCTAATCCGAAGAACTTGGACGGTTGTAACAGAACTTCTCGTTTTCTCAAATTTCTAATGTATTTTTCTTCTCCAGTTTCTTTCCACTGATATGATTGGTTTATTGTGGATTAAAAATGTCAATGTGGAATTATTGGTTGTTGTAGGATACTTGAGTTGTCTTTTTTTTTTTCTTTTTTTTTTTTTTTTTTTTGAATTCGATTCCACTTACACTAACATCATAAGCTAAACTAAGAAACGCACACAATATGTGTATGCAATATAAATAATCTATCAAGTTTAATTGTGTATTTTTTTTTACAATGTTATCTCCTTAATTTTATTTTAAAAATATTAGTGGGTTCAAGAATTGTTGATTAAAAATAATAATAAAACATGTTATTAAAAAAATATATTGATGATATCATGTAGGCTAAATAATAAAATTTGACATGTACGCCAAATAATAAAATTTGAATTCTCTTAAAAAATTTTAAAAATAAAAGATGAAGGTTTTTTTTTTATTTTATTTTTTTTATGGATAATACTTAGATGCAGCCCTTAAGCATTTATTATACTTCCTTTTTTTAGTATTAAGTTGGAAATTTATCGACAATTTACGAGTATATCGGTGTAATAAATGTTTATTTATTGTTAATTCTTTTCACTTTTAGCTTCTTATATGTAGCCCTAAAAGCAATTGAGAAGGGTATTTTATAGTGAAACTTATCATCTAAAACCCCCTCTCACTTTATATATAGAATAGGATAGTATAAGATGGGATATAAAAGATCTTTACTTGAAAAGAACACATAGTTAAATTATATTAACAATTTTACATTTTAATTTTTGATGCAACTAAAATAAGTCTCATCAAATGAACCCCTTCTTTTTATCCAAAAAAAAAAAAAAGAAAAAACCAAAAAAGGCCATTACTATATTCTTGTATATTTCTTAAATTAGATACTTGGCTACACTAAAAGTTGAAAGAAAATGATGATCTAAGAATAATATTATCTTTCAGCCCTTGCTTATTACTTCCTCCGTTCTTATATAGATGACTCGTTTCATTTACACTGTGTTTGGATAAAAAAAAAGGAGGAAAGAAAAGAAGGGGAGGGAGGAGAAGATGAGGGAAGGGAAGAATGTTGAATTTTCCTTCCAAATCTCTCCATTGTTGGAGGGAACAATTTCCAACAATTTAATCCCTCCAATTCTCTCCCCTCCAATTCCCTTCCTTCCTCATTTGTTATCCAAGTGAAAGAGACTCCATTTTTCCATTTCCCTTTCCTTCCTTTCCCTCCATTTCCTTCAATCCAAACACATCGTTAAGTATATTTGTCATTCCATTTCTTTAACAATTAACATTTCTAATGATAAACTTTTATAAAAACTAGAGGTAATCATTGACAATAATCTAACAAGAACATACTATGTTTTTACCTTACTTAAATCACATCACAAAAAACTATTAAATAATGTAAATTGTATAAATATCGTAAAAAGTCAAATGAGCAATCTTTAAAAAATAAATGGAGTATTAAAGATGTATACGAGTACAGATTACTTAATAAGTAGACTAGCGTTATATGATTAACACTGATCACATGACATTTCAAAAAGTAAGTTGCCTAATAATTTGCCTCTTTCATGTCAAATAAATTCCAAGCTACACGTATACTAATAATCCAATACTGTTTATCTTTCGGCGGAAACAAAAATGCTCCTGCCTTTCCACATATTTTCCTTAATTATGGCATGGAAATTGGAATAAATTTATGCACCTTATACCAAGATCAGCAATCAGTACACAAAACATGACCATATGAGCTGTGTGTGAGTAATTAGAAATTGACTTCATGTATGACAATAATATTGTGTGCGTGGAAACTATAGTCCATTAATCCTTATGGTATTTTTATAGCTTTCGGCAGAAAGAAGTTTCGAACCCGAGACTATGGTTGTGGACATCGGACAGTATTCACAGTAATGAGAAGAGAATTGAAGCAATGTTAGAGTAGTCTTTACAAATTTCATGCTTGGTGCATTTTCAAAGGTTTCTTGTGTTGGGTTTTACTCTTATTGTACTTTTGTACATCGAAAGACTGATTAATAGCATTGGAATGGTTTACGTTGTTCTTACCACTCTTGTAAAGGAAACGATACAGCTCGAAGTCCTCATAGATTCTCTCAAACCCTAACAATCTCGAAATAGGGTAGTTCATAACTTGAACTCTAGGCCGTTTGAGATACGGATAAGGGGATATGAAGAGCTAATGTGATTACAAATTGGAGAAGAAAGTGGGACTAGTGTCACCAAAATTGTTTACATAAAATTTATACCAGAATAATGCAAACCAATCACAAAAACTTGTAGTTGGTATATAACAGATTTACAGGTGTGTGTAATTTGTATATGAGCTTCATCACCCCTAACCCAAATTAGATTAAAGTCAACTACAAATAGCAGAAATATTTGGGCTAAAAAACAGTATCAACATTTTCATCATAATAATGATCTAACTGTTGCACAATTAGCTAGACTCGATGTCATTGACAAATCAGCATCCTGCTGGCTTAATGACATCCGAAGTTTCCTCCAACTCTAATTCATCATAAATAACCACATGAGTATGACAGTGATATTATCGCAACAGCAACACAGGAAGGTTCTTTTCACCTTCAGCCGCAATCAATGTAAATAACACTATCAACGTAACAATTAATCCAGGCCATAGAGATTTACAATCTAACGGATAACAGATTGGCATATTTGGCATCATTTAAAAAAATGTAAATTTGCGCTATATGAAAACTTTATTAGACACATTTATCAAACTATAACAGACCTAAAAAGATCCACAATACACCAGAAAGAAGCCTTGCAGAACTAACAGAAGCTACATCTAATATCTATCTGAACTGTATCCTCAACTGGTATATGAACAACAGTTATTGGCAAAATCTACAATAACAAACAATTGACACAAATTGTGGACTCAATTTTTGCTCATATTCTGTATCCGGTATCCAATGCTAATATTTGTTACAACATCACTTTAGAGGGGTTGTAGAAGAAATGAACCCCAATGTTAACACGTCCTATTGATTATCTCAAATTGATCAACCTCAGGACACTAGGGCAGTATACACAAAATCTTCACCAACTAACTATAGCAAGACTTGAAAACCTTAAATCGTCTCATCTTGCAACTAAGCTATACTGAACCTCGTCTTTGTTCCAGCAAGATTGGAGTTTTCACACCATTTGTCAAAGATACAATCAAGTTGCATCAAGCTGCTCCTCGTTGGAAGTTATTGGCAGTCACTCACATAGGATATATAAGACAGCCACTGTTTGCAAAGAAGCGAAGCATGTACTCTGAGGAGAAATGAAGGAAAAGAGACTTTGTGTCACAATACTACCAACATAAAAACGATTCCAGTTAGTCCAACTAAGAAAGGAAATACACTTTTAGGAATAATAATTTTGTTTATTACTTCTCCCGTCACATACACTATAAACTATACGCCAACAAAAAACCAAATATTACCTTAAGCCCAAAATATCATAATGTATACCCCTCAGCATCAAAGCCGGACCTTCTCTCACCATGCTTCTTGGAATTTCTTCTTCAATGATTTGAAGCTACTATGTCCTGTTTCTGGAAACCGAAATGATGTACTTCTTTTTAGCAGATCTGAAAATATGGCTGAACTTGATGTAGATTCATTTTTAGGATTTTCTTCGTATTCTGCATACAGCATACAGTGACAATCAGTCAGCGTACCACTCTTAAGAGTTTACAGAACCGAAACCATAACGATAGACAAATTCATTGAAATATGAATGAAGTAAATAAAAGGCAAATAACACTATAACAGTGAGACCATCAAGAGCAAAGAGAAAAATTCAATTACGTAGTTTAAAAAGAAAAAAAAATTCCTCAGTAAGGAGGAAAGCAAAGATACCAGAGCAGCGCTAGAGAAATATTTTATGTACCATGACCTTTTCCCGTCATACTGATCTACACACAGCGAGGAGACTGCTTGTGACCATTGCACACTAAAGTGGTTAATAAAGGATATTACAGTCATTTTCTCAATAGTATCAAAGCCGTTATTTTACAGCAATGATTAGCTAGATATTTTTATGCCTTTTTGTACTGTCCTGTAATTGCTAGGAAGGTTCCTTATAGCTGTTATTTTGTTTTCAGTGTAAGGGTATTCTCCTTTTTTGTTTTGGGGTGTACATAAGCAGACTGTACTGCTCTTCTGCTAATCAATGAGAAATGACTGAACATTCCCTCTGCTGATATTCTGCTCTTGCATTCTCCTCTGTCCTCTTGCACAATCAATCTTATTTTACTCTTTAGTGGTCAAGAAGGGAAAAGAATGCTTCCTGGCAACAACCAACTGATCTCATTCCACCCATTTTAACTAGTAGCTTATACCAACTATAACTGTAAATCATCAATAGCCTAGATTATGCTTATATATTCTAATTCATACAGAGTACAAGAGAGAGTCACCTGAGGATGGTGGGAGCCGGTACTGCCTCTTAAGAAACTTTGAAGCTTCTGTGTCCTTTTTGTGACATAATATTCGTATCAAAGTATTAGCATCATCCAGTGATCTACGACTGTGATCACCTGACTGAACCCTAGTTGAGATGTGCTCACTTGCATTCATTAGCATTTGGATAACGCTACTAGTCTGCAAAGGATCAAGAATGGGCAAGGAGAAACAACTTAAGTATTAATTTTTTTAAGCAACTCAACCAACATGTACCTCATTCTCAAGACCACCATCAGACCTGAAGGGAAAACAAGCTTAACACTTGATGAGCAAACTTCGCTGCTCGCTCTACTGTAGAACGAGGAAGACCTTCTCCTTCAGCCACAAAGAAATCCTACAAAACGGAACATATATCATATCAAACGTCCAAGCAAGCAAAATTTAACCCCCAATTCCCCTGGGTTCAAAGAGGAAAAACAAATATTAAGCAGCTAAAAGATAAATGCACACATCTATTTCTGTTGCATCTCCACCTATGTTACTCATACTCTTCATTTAACCTCAAGTACCCATGTCAGACCCTTGACCCTCGGACGGGGATACAACACTTGGCCACTTCAATTTGGTTCAACGTCATGGAAAAAGATAACAAAATAGCAGAGTCGGACATAGATATTGGGTATCCAATTCCGAGTCCGAGTAATATAGATCTCTACCTACTTTCTTCTAGACAATTAAAAAGATATGTAGTCTGCTTCAGAATTTCACTGACACTCAAAGTCTCTTTCGTAATTGTAATTGTTAAAATAAAACACTAGTCACAAATTAGCAATAAACAATACAACTTTCACTATACTGCTTAATTGGGCCATTTAATAAGAGAAATTATGTGATAAGATCCCATTAACTACCCTGCTTCCCCCCCCCCCCCACCCCCACCCACCCAAAACACACATACACAGAATCACAGAGAGGAAAAAAAATCTGAGAAGAAGCTGTTCAATTGCAACAGAGAAGGAGATATTAAAAACCATTCCCCCCCCCCCCCCCAACCCCCCAAAATATAAAAAAAATAAAAAGAAACTGAGACAAATTGGACCAACTATAAAAAGAGACATCAAATACCTGTAGTGCTCTCAAATCATCCTCCATCAATATGATATCTGAATCAGAAAATGCACGTGAAGGTCCTCCATCTAGCAATACCCAAAGGTAACCTTCCTGAACAAAGCAAGAAAAATCAGAAGCATGAAAAACAAGGAGAATAGATACCAGAGCTAATAGAGCTTCAGAACATACCAATGATGCATGAAATATACTGGAAATCACAGGATCCCTGACGGTGTCATCAACTGATCCACATATTTGGTTCAGCACCTACATCAATGCATCTCATATTGCTGTAACTATCACTCAAGCATAATATTGATTGACCAAATTTACAACTGAATAGTACCCAACATGAAATGCAAATTGTTACTCCGTAAATGAGTAAAATGCTTCATCAGTGCATTTAATAACCTTTGTTCAGTTGGAGCAGAATATAGGCTTGCACGTAAAGGAAAAAAATAAAAATAAAAATTGCTCAATTACTTACAGAATCAACACTGGGAAGCACAGTATCCATACGAGCTTTTCCAACACCACCACGATATAATTGGAAAAGGAATTCCTCTCTAAGGTCCCAGAATACAGCTTTTGTTGCTGCATAACCAATAAATGTGTGTTAATTGAACATGAAAACTGAGGTCAGCAACAACACAATTTCTAGTCACTGCTATCATTACGAAATGTAATATGAAGAAAGATTATTGTAGGATTATATACAAAATAATCATAAAGCTCTTTTGCAACATACAAAAGCATCAGTCACTTAAATTACAAAAGGCAATGTAACCCCACCCCACCCCCCCCCCCCCCCAAAAAAAAAAGTATGAATAACAGGCAATGCGCATACTATTTCAAAGTAGGACTTTATTTCCTTTTAATAGTTTATTAAGTTTCAATCATCTTTAAAAGTATAACTCCATTTCCATTATATTTTTTCAAGGTTTAGTGACAAGTAATACAGAAAGACAGTTCTAAATAAAAAAAAATATAGTAATTCAGTGGTGTTTTGAATGAATGAATGATAGATTATATAAAGTTATATACTAAGGGGTGGAAGCAGAAGTTCTCAATCATGATGTGACAGAAGTGATGTAAATATTGACAATTCAGGGTCAAGTGAAAGTTATGGTATATTGTTAACATGGAGGTTAAGCTAATAAAGCGTTACGGCGTTAACTGGTTAGGTGATATTAGATAACAGAAGTCAACATCCATTGCTCATTAGGGCACTGGGTAATTTTATTTGCAAACCGCTAGGTATATAGTATATAGGCTTAAAACGATAAGGGCACCTCGTCAAAAAACCATTACAAAAATCATACAACTATGAAAGTTTATTACCATTTAAGACATAACTTTAAGAGTTTATATCTCACCTGTGAAGTCAATATGTTTGGCAATAGAATCTGTGATACTGGTTCTAATACCATCAAATGTCGTTGCAAATAATTCATCAATTGATTCTTCACTCATAGTTCTCTCCAAGATTTCAGGAGTTTCTTCTTCTACAATGTTAACTGCGCAATACACATAGAAAGTTCCATAATATGAAAATAGCATAAGCTACAAGGGTTTTATTAGTCAATCAACTAAAAAATAAAAACGATGTGGGTCCATCAACTACTACATTATAATATCCAGCAAGCCAGCTATATAACAAATTTCAGTCCCAGTCTTCTCCTCTAAATATATGACCCTTAAACCATTGTACTTCTTATCCCACCATTTAATCTGAGCATAGTCTTTATTTTCTAGAAGTCTCTTCAAGTGTGAAACAACAATAATAAAGATTAAATATGTTTTATGTTCTTTGGATTTCACCGATATAGCACTCAGCCAGTCAGCCTTAAGCCTCTAGAGACAGTTGGCACAATACAAGTGAGCACCATGTTATTCAAAAAGTCAAAACCTGAATTTCATATATATAAGACAGCCCAAACCCACCCCCGTCCTCACCTTCATCCACCCCCCCCCCTCTGTTCACCAGGCAGAGTGGCTCCAAATTAAAAGACTTAGACATGTATTATTAGAGCAAAAAGTATCAATAAGAGAATAACAAGAGATGTCCAAGCGCTTACACCAACTTCGCTTCACAGCTGGTCTGACAAGTCCCCATGACTTCCTCATGCCATCTTCCAATATAACAATTTGATTTCTGATATACTGTACACGAATATGGAAAACAATTTAATAAAGGCAATGTTGTATAAAAATTGATAACAGAAGTGTAAGTCCTGAAGGAAACAGGAATTCAAGTAACAAAGATGAAAATGAACAGTATTAACAGTAGAAAAGTCAGTGATGAACCAAGCAAACAACTCAAAAACAAACTATTCAACAGCTAACATGATAAAGAACTAAATCAAAGCTTTTTCGGATCATAGAACAGAGCCATAATCCCCTCCAAATTTCAGTGTGAATATCTAGAATATAAACAAGAGTAAAAAATGTAACACAACTACAAGCAGATATTCTCCATTCATATTGCTAATTGCTTAGTTTCTCCTACGTTATAAATTGCGGTGAAGTTGAGGAAAGTCTACAACTCTACAGTCAAATACCTCTTCACTCACTAAATTGAATAGAAACTGAGACAACAATATAACCAGCTTTCTATAGTTGAATTGAATAGAAATATGAGAAATAATCCAATAAGTGGAGCTAAACGTTTACCAGAGATCTAGTATCAAATATCACGCAAGTTTATATTGATACATTCAACCGTTGTTGATCATTGTAAAATACCAAAACATAATAAGCAAAAAATAGCACATAAAAAGTGATACCAGACTCAAAAGTATAAAACGAACTTTTGTGACACTCTCTTAGATTATTATTATTATTATTATTATTATTATTATTATTATTATTATTATTATTATTATTTTATTATTATTATTATTATTATTATTATTATTATTATTATTATTATTATTATTATTATTATTATTATTATTATTATTATTATTATTATTATTATTATTATTATTATTATTATTATAACTGGAGGAGGGAGGAGGGGTGGGGGTGGTGGGGGGGGGGGGGAATGAGGGAGAGGATGGGAATTGGGAAGTAGGATGAAACTCACTTGAAGAGTATTCAGTCTGATACAGAGCTTGGGTAAGGTCAACTGATTCAGGGTAGTAATAGTATTATCATCCAAGATCTTGAGCTCAACCATCTTTTTTCTAGGGATAGTAACCAAAGATTCCTCATACCGTGTCAGTGATGGAGTTGATGGATAAAGGTGGCTCTTCTCAACTGCATAATATCACAGCCAAATCTCAATGATGGAAGAGAGAAGAATCAGCTAATAAAATGGAAATCATCAAGCAAAACAAGACAGATGAAATAAGAATGAACAAAGTCAGCGAAAAAAAAAAAAAACAATTAGAAAGAACGATGGTCAACAATACAATCAGAGATATAAACAAAAACTTAAAACCATTTTCCTCTATTAAAACATAAGGTCCCTGTGTTTAAGAGATCAAGCTTTAACCTAATTTCCCTTAAAACATATTGAATCTTACATAAATCTAATTGTACTCCCTCCGTTTTTAAATAGTTGCTCCATTTTTCCATGCACGGAATTTTAGGAGAAATTGGAGGAAAAAAATATATAGAGGTAGTGGGGTAGGTGGAAGAATAAAAAATTGTAAAAAGCAAAAGTAGTTGAAAGAATTAGAGGAAAGAGAATATGAAATTAGCAAAATATGATTTATGTTAGGTCCATTAGTTGAGAGAAATGAATTAAATATTGTAAAAACTTTCCAGATAAGGAAATGGAGCAAATATTTAAAAACGGAGGGAGTATATTTCAATACTTGCATTATATTGTACTCTCTTCTTCTTCTGTTGCTTAAACGCCTTAATCCCATAAGCGGGGTCGGTTACATGAACCAATATGAGGATTTAACAGGAGGTCACCCATCCTAGTACTACTCTCAATTATTGTAGCTCATGTCAAGCAATGTGACAAAGTTTTACACCGGCTGTCACTGACCAACCGTAACCCTTCTCCTTTATCCAGGCTGCGGGGAACCTACGGCAGAGTTGTATTATATCGTACTCTACTTCCTAATATTTCTCTCCACCATTTCATCGATACAATCAGAGAATTTAACAGCCAAATGTTAAACTGTTAAAGATTAACCTTGAAGGATGCAAGTGCCTTCTATTAAAACTTCTGGATAGTGTCCAAATTTTCTCAAAGGCATGACTTATCAGTTATGACCTAAATCAAGTGCAACATATCATGTTTGGCATCACTTCAGATCCTTCAACCAGAAGTAAAAAAGAAAAAGTTCCAGCGTGTTTTTATCATACAACAAAAAAACCCCCCCGATTTAAAGAGCACATTATAAAGCACTAAATAAAAAGGAAAAAACAAACTGCAAAAGCATTGTCTACAAGTTAGCAATTGCAGCCTAACAGGCATATTTTTCTGCAAGTATTACCTAATTGGCAATCCATTTTGGACAAATAAGAATCCAAGCTGTGGATGATTAGAGAAAGTAAAGCTTGTAAATGTGTGATATTCACAGGAAGATTCAACCCAAAGAACTGATCCACCGTCTGAAAATATCAAAAACAAAGATTTAGTAACATAGGGACGAGATTATAAACCATAAAACAGAACATACAAAGACAAGGGGACTAGAAATTTACACAGGCACACTGATACAAAAACAAATTGGAAACCTTGTCTGGTTAGTCACTAGGAAGCTTTTTTGAGATATCTTGAATCCACCCTACTTTTTATGTTAATAAACTTCTTAGTTATTACTCTCAACACACTTGAAAGTTTGACTCACTTTCCATTTTGGGTTGTTTCATACTTCCTTTGTTTTCTCTTACTTGTAACACAGTCTCATGACACGCACAGTTAGGAAGAGATTAGATAATGTAAATGGACAAATTAATCAAAGAAATTTACACATATAATATCCAACCCTTCCCTAATCTCGGTGTTAAAATTATGTTGATTTTCTTTACCTTCTCTATTCACCTCCTTAAAGTGCGTGCCTTAAAGTTGTGTTGCAAGTAAAAGAAAACGGAGGAAGCATATTTTAGCTCACTTTTAATTAATAATATTTTATTCAACTCCATATTACCACCTAGTCCACCTTACCCCTACACTATTTACACACAAATAAATAAATAAATAAATAAATAAATAAATAAATAAATAAAATAAAAAACAAAAAAAAAACCACTCAACTTTAACTCCATCTCTCTTGTCTTGATCCATCTTTTTCTTAGGCCCTGTTTGGTTGGGTTGAAAACCTTTTCCAGGAAAATAGTTTTCCTTATTTTACATTGTTTGGTTTGGACCAAATATGAAAAGAAAATTTTGGGCTGAAAACTATTTTCCTTTATACAAGAAATAGTTTTCCCCCAAATTAGAAGGGAAGCCATGTTTTCCACTCTCCTTCTATCTTTCCCCTTCTTCTTAAACTGCAAACTCAAGTAGATCTCCTCACTCGATCTCTTGCTGTAACTTGGCAATTCTCTTTCTCTCTTTCTCTCTTCTTGACTTGATTATTACTCTAGGGTTTAATTTGGTTTAAAATCTGGTTACGTTGTATTTTTTGCCCATATTTTGATTATTTTAGGGTATTTTGCACAAAAATTATTAAATACATCAATTCGAATTATTTTTTTTGATGTGATTAAATTTTCTAAAGATGATTATAAATTGGAATTTTTTATTAGATGTAATCTACTTGCTGCAAATTTTATTTTTATTCATATAATTACATGTTTTTATCATGCCCACAAAGTGTTTGATAAATTGCCTCACTTAATATTAGTTTTATTTTGTTTAAATTGGAAAATTGTTTTACATATAACCAAACAAAGGAAAATGTGTAGGAAATTACATTTTCTAATGAAAAAGGTTTTTCATGGAAAATCATTTTCCATTGAAAACATTTTACACCCAACCAAACAGGGCCTTACACCCTCTCACTTTTCCATAGAAACAAGAACGTAAAACAACTGAGTGGAACTTTAGGGAATGGAGGGAGCAGTTCCTAAAAATTCAAGTCTAAGGGAATCTAATTTTGCAGCAGTATAGCTTTTATAAGCTCTGGCTTGTTGTTCAATATGTTAAAACTACTGAGCTAGTATACACTGGACAACATCAATTAACAGATGAATTGTGGCCCCGAAATCGTGGAAGGCCTTGTTGATATATTCACAGGTCTTCTTCCTAAATTCTATATTTGCTTCATTGTGAAGCTTAAACAAGATTTCACAAAAGTAATCAAATAAAAAATATCCAGACAGATTTACCTCCTCAATCATCCTAAATACTTCAACAACAGATCCTGCATGTTTCTTTTGAGATGTCAAAGGTTCCCACAACTGCAAAAATCAAAAAGTCAATTTACTTGAGGAAAAAACCTCTAGTTCTTGCACTTCAAAAGATGCAGCTCACATAATAAACACAACCTAATCACATCAGTCAAAATAGATCTATAGATAGAACATCTTTCATGGTTTTACAAAATCATAGTAACAGATGAAACATAATATATTCAGCAATAAGATATCTTATCTAGAATTATTATTACTATTTTTTTCAAATCCTACCACAATTATTGGCTTATAGATTTCCATAATGATACAGCAATGAGCAATAACATCCACCCCTGTTGGCAAATCCAATGGAGGTCCAATAGTGCGCACTTTTTTCATAGACCAGGTAAAATAGTTGAGAGGTTGCTTCTCAAAGACTCAGAAAGAAACATTGCACAAATAAAAGCAAGGGTAATGAAAAAAGAAAAAGGTACACATGATGCATAACTACATTACACCCATTTCAATAGTATCTCATTGAAATTACACATATAAGTTAGATACGAACCTCAAGATCAAAGACACGGGCAATCCAGTCCAGTATATATGCATGTTGAGATATTGACCAATCAAGAATAAGTGAAGCAGAGACATCTCCAATCTGCCAAATTAAATGAAATTTATAAGATACTTATACTTTTCCTCCAATAATTTTAAGCAATCAATAACTTAAAGAACAGGTCCTATTTAATTCCTATTATGCCCATCTCTTTCAGTTTTGCAGACGTACAAGAAATTGGCATCTAAAAAGAGTCAATGTTTACTGCCAACCAGAAAACCCACAGGATACAGAAGTATCTATAATGGAATGCAATTAGATGGCTAGCTCCAATACTCAAAACAGATATAAGGTACTCCATATATGATATAACTAGAATGCGCTTAGCCTTAGAGGAATTCAAGATGAAATAAACAATTGGTTGAGAAGGGAAGGGAAAGGATCACCGGAGCATAGATTCTATATGCATTATAACAGCAATCTATGGGATTCCTGTACCAAAGATTACACAAGTACCCTCACCTGAAAATGATCCAAATCAACTTTGAAAGGCTGATGTAAGCTATTCCCATTAAAGCTGAAAGAATAGAGTTGAGTCAGCTCCCGATCCAGCATATGAGCAGCAGAAAGAACCAACTTGACATCTTGAGAGAGACTCGATATGCCCTGAATAAATGGTCTCTATTTATCGGAGAGGGGGGGGGGGGGGGCGAACCAGTCAGATAACATAAAAATATACAAAAAAGATAAACTAATACTATGAATTGGTATAACTATTAATTATAAATTATAATAACATTAAATACCAATCTTTCCCAAAAGTGTTGATGTAATAGTGTGGCTGAAATCATCCCAGCTTCAGGACACCACAAATGTAATACAGGGCTAAAAACAGAAAATTCTTTCTCAGCAACCAATTTTACAGCATTTGCAAGTAATGCCAACGGATGCATCCTCTCTATATCTGATTTGAGATCCAAGCCATCAAGAACCTATTTTAAAAATAAGTTTTTTAAAAAAGTTAGCCAAGAACAATAAATTGACTCAAATAGATAATTCAATTCAGACTCACTAGCATGTATGCTGCTTGAACAGAGCTCTCCACATACATCTTTATTTGTCTGGATGCATCTTTTGTGGAACCATCTGTTTTAGTCAACTGCATAGTGAAATAAAGGAGAAGAAGACGTGTAATTAAAACGGTGATTTCAGAATATAATACCAGCTAAATAGTATGAGAAGACTTATCATGGATAATTGCATTATAAACTTGTTTCTAGCATGAAAATTTTCTTTAAACGACATTTAGAAAAATAATTAAATCAGAGATTTATTGTATCAAACATAATGCTCTTAAAAACCAGTATTAAAATCGCTGGTGTTAATATTTCTTGGGGGAAAAAAGGCAATTACAGACAGCTGCATATCAAATAGATCTATGAAGAGAAGAAGCATAAAAATTTTAAGCAAGAAGAACTTAAGAATTCCGACACGTTTTAAAATAAATAAAAAATTAACAACAATTGATCCATAACTAACCTTGCCAAATTCATTAAGAACAACGACTGCAGTTGCCATTGCAAAGGTCAATATCCTCTTAAACTTGGATGGTTTCTGCAAAGTTAGCTTAATGTTAGGATTAAAAAAAAAAGATTTGAAAGGTGATGGCACCAATACATGTTAAATTACTCAGGTCAAAGCACCAAACATAAAACAGAAATCATATATAGGCAACAGTGGCTATGACATAGAAGAAGTCCGTAATTTTTAACAGTAAAAAACAAACAAATTAGCATTCAAGGGCACAATACCGGGTTAGCGTATAAATACAACACATATTCATCTAGTATGACTCCAAAACTATACTGGAATTACACTGATACCAAATAACTAACCTGACTAAAATGCCTATGATAGTCTTGTAGTTTCCCCTCACACCAAATATGCATGGAGAGCAATATAGCTGGAACCAAATTTAGTCGAACAACACTATCTCGCCATTCAATCGTACATAACAAACATTCCCCTTCTTCATACAGAGATTCAGCAGCTTGGACATTCTGTATTTGGATAGTTGTGTACTCTAGCAGATCTTCCTTATCTGTTTGAACATACTACATAAGATAAAAGGTTAAGAAAAATAAATTTATTTCATATCGAGGGGTAGAACAAACTCAATGAAGTTTTTTAATAGGCAGACGAAAAAAGTTCTCTCAGGACATGCTGTGCTTAGTGTGTAAGCAATGTCAATACAGTTCTTTAAAGGATGTATAAGAAAACTTACCAGAATATGGAGTATATTATCAAGCAGAATTCTACAGCGATAAGGAATAAAATGCAAAAGTTACCAGGTTAAAACAACTAAAATTGTTCTTACAAGAATTCTTTGGCTCCCCTGGAGATTTTCTCCAAGATTAACCATTGCCTCACCCACTCTACTTCCCATTCTAGAATCGGTTATTTACATTACAAGAGAATTTTACAATACAAATAAATGAGATGGACTTTAAGAAACATCTATGACTTAGGTTCTAGATTGCCATTAAGAAGTCTGAGAATTCTGAACAGCTCAGAATACATCAAACACAATAAAAAAATCGAAGCAAAAACGATAGTTAAATACCTGCTTAAAAAGAACCCAACTATACAATGCGTCATGAATAATCTGAGTGATCCCAAGAGTAGACCAGGTCAGTTTGATGAGTTTCAGAATTTCATTCGCCTCCTGTATATGTTTATCACAGGGACTTTACTTCTCATTGTAATACTTAACAGACAACTCTATAAGAAAAAGCCAGAAATTAAAATGTGAGCAGATACCGCTAAAATTTGTCCTTCTTCAAGAATGTCAAACACTGAAGAAAGCAGTTTCTCATAAAGCCGGACTTTCAAGTGGTGACCGCCAGGCAAGTCGCATCTTTCATCTCCATATCCTGGCTTATGGAAGATTTTCGAAGCAGAATTACTGATAGAATGTAGAATCTCAGCTCGTTCACTGGGTGACATCATATCCCATTCCTAAATAAGACAAATTACTCCCATTAACTACTTAGATATGAAAAATGCTGAAAGCCTGAAATCAACCAAAGAACGATAGATAACTGATCACAATCCATACCCTTGCATTTCTTATCTTTCCAATAGAATATTTTATGGTAGTATATTCCTCCGTCAAATGACCAAGGCAACAGAGTTCTTCCATGATATTTGCCTGTGACAAAAGAGTTGCTCAGGAAGTTGCAATCCTAAACTTATTTAAAATATAATCTAACCAAGTATTCTAAATTTCTAATTTATCAATTAAAAATGTCAGGTAGGCAGGATGTTTGGGTGGAGCCTAAGGCTTAAAAAGGCCGTCCTTAAAATTCTAGCAGTTAAAGTTTATTATAATAAATCCTACCGAAAAATAAGAGGAGCATTTGCCACCAACTCTCAAATTCTCAATGCATACAGCAAACGGCAACAAAGCTTAACATGGACCAACAAAGACAATTCCTCATCAAACCATGCAAGAACGTGGATAGTAATTTTTGGTTCTTCATGCTCATTTGAAATAAGAGAAACTATAACCAACAAAGTCTAGGTTTACAGCATTCACGTAAGTTAACATTCAAAGCGTAACTTTCTTTCTTTTTTTTCCCCTTGTTTCGGATAAGAGAAATAACATTACGAAAGAAGATAATGAAGAATTACAAAGAAGTGGACCAGAAGTCCACCAGAAAAAAGAGCTCCTATCTTGCAATACATCAGTAATTGTATACGCCAAGAAATGCTCCATGAACAGGAGTCAAATGACAAGCTAAATACACCAAATCAATCCAAAAAAGAAACCAGATAACTAAAAGGAGGCTCCCAACCTCGAAAGCTCCTGGTTCCTTTCCACCCAAAGCACCTACTTAATAGCAAACAGGCAACCTAACTCTATACTTTATGCCCCTTTCAACTTCCAAGTTCATATGCTGGATTTGTAAATGGTCCAAAACAGTACAAGGGCATCCCTATATAGCCATGTTAACAAATAGAATGCCAACTAACATAAATCATATCCCTACCAAACCAGATATGATTTCTTTCTCAATATCAGTTTATTCTCAGTATCAAAACATAATTCATTATTCACTATATAGCCATGTTAACAAATAGAATGCCAACTAACATAAATCTTTAAAACCAGAGGAGTTGCAAGCATACACTTCTTATACCCTTTACCTGTCTATTTTTCCATTGAACATAAGATTTTTCATTTGAAAAATTTGATCTTGTAATGCTCTTAATAAGGCCCAGTACAATTTGCAGAACATCAAATTGTGAAGATGATGACCTTGAAGCGCATCGCGTCAAGCATTGCCTGATGCATAAATCCATTGCTTCAGAAACCTAGTAAATCTTTCATCAATCAGAGATGGATAACAGCAAAGGGTTTTATTATTATTAAAATTACTTACCTAATTTGTACCATACTTGACATACTATACAGGAAAACAGAATGAGAAACATATTACATGCTGTAATTAATGAAGAACAGATCAAAGTCTAGGCACTGAGTTTTGTCAAAAGAACACAAAGAATATGAATACACAGACTACACATCAAAGTCACCAACACTATCAAAGATACTGCATTTATCAAGCATAAAATACTCGATATTCTATCAAGAAAAATTAAAAAGGGAAATATCAAAATTGAATGAATTAAAGCAAAATTACAAATAAATCATCTACACTAAGAGCACAATTTTTCTACTTGATCAATACATGTGCATTGTGATAAATAAATGAATACATTCACAATATAAATAAAGAGATAAATGTTGAAACTAACCCTATAGATGGCACTTTTTAAAACAACTACTCCCGTTCTTTATTTTCAACCCACTTTTCATTTACATCTAATCTTTTAAATGTCTTAGCACGTCACTTACTCCTCAGTCTTTCTATCTCCTCCAAAAAGTAAAAGTACCATACATAGATGGTCTCTCCCTCCTCTTCTACTTGATCTTTTTGTCTACAGTTATTATAGAGAGCCAGAAATAACGAATGGAGTACCCTTTAAAATTAATTATGCAGCACCAACTGCTAAATTAACCTAGTGAAAAAGAAAAAATTGACCCACCCTTAAATACTTTATGACTTTGAACTAGCTACTTCCTCATTACTTTTCTTCCCTCTCTCTCACGAATCCCAGGGTAAGACCTAAACCACTAATTCTGTCTAATCGGCTTAGCCTAACACACACTCACAACTTAATTTTCCATATCTTTAAGTCTTTGTTAAAGAAGAATTGTGGATGATTTATATGTGTTATATACATGAGAACAATTAATTCAACACAATTGATGAAAACTCATAAAAATTAAGAATTCAAGTACAAGCTACAAAAGCTAATAAGTCAAAAGAAAAGATGTAGAGAAACTTGCCTCCATTTGAGTGCGTATGGTATTAAGTAGTTCCAAATTTCTATCTTGATACTGAGCTTGCAAAACCACCTCTCTACTCTTTTTTCCTTTCAAACCTGCTAGAAATTTAGAAGACTTTTCCTTTTTTCGATCTTGTTCACATATAACTTCAATCCTAAAACATGTAAACAACAGTATTAATGTCATTACTACTAAATTAAGGCAAAGGTTGTATACGAAAGAACCAGCTTCGTTGATAATACAGCAAATAAAAGTTTTACACAAAAGCAAGGGGAAATGTATACCTAGAAAAGGCTAAGGATGCCACCAGTACTCCATAAGCTGATTCCCGCAAATCATCCTCAGACAATCCTTCAGAAACCCTAGAACTAAATATGAGTTGTCTAAAAAACAGAAATCCAAGACTTAAAATTCTAAAGGAAAGGAGCCAATATTCATAATGTATAATCAGATTAACCCAAACAATACATTATCAAATCCAATATAATTTATGAAAATAGAATGCTTTAATGAGTTATCATTTTGCAAATTTGAGCCTTATATAGGCAAATATTAAGGAACAATATAAATGTATGACAGCACCACACCTGTTTGTAAGTGAGGTAATCCTAAAAGAGGAACAACACCACTCTCAGAAGACTTTGAGGGTCTAGTCATTACATTTCCAACCTTGAACCCATTTTCGTCTTTTCTTGAAGCAGCCTTGTAATTAGATATTCGTCCTGCTTGGATTGATGACTTTGGTGCGACATTACTTTTCTCACTAGCCCCAGCTGGAGGAGGCCGACGTTTAGGAGGTGATATAGATAGCTGGGATTTTGTGAGGGTATAAAAAGAATTCCCTGACTGAGAATAGATCTGCTGGGAATTTATTCAACAGAAACATCTATAAGTTAATCATTGTGAGTTTGGGGGCAAAATTTACATTGAAAGCACCAATTTTGAAGATTCACCTAGATGAAAGAAACAATCTTAAAGAGCATAACAAGAGTATATCAGTCGGGCACTTTAAAAACCAACATTCCAATGACCAATAGATTTAAATTTTGTCCCCTTCTAGTAAAAATGAGAAATTTCTCTCAAAACAACCAATTTTGAGTACTTATATTCTGTATCCCATAGAATAATATCTAATACTTCCAGTGTTTTATTCTCTGTTCCATTTTTACTGTGCATGTTAGTCAAGACACAACTTTTACCCTTATATTGTTAATTGTCAATTAGTAAAATTACAAAAAAATTATAGAAGTTCATATATTGAAACTATATATTGAGACAAACCTAACAAGATCCAAATTGACTATGTATATTTTTACAAATAAATAACCAATCATGGTCAAAGTGAAGTATGTAAGTCATGCATGTTGCGGTATCTTAAGTCTTAACGTATTTTTCTTCCAACCAAGTCACTTAGAAGTTTGCCAGAGCCGAGAGATTATCTCTAATGGCCACTGAACCATGGATGGAGTCTATTCCCTTATGATCATCTCATTATCGAATCTTTTGGTATCAGTTCTTTGGCTCTCTTAGGATATTCATCTACCCCATTATTGTTTTCGTATCAGTTATGCCTATGCCTGTGCTAACTGAGCTAGGGGATCTTCTATACCTGATTAATCTTACCCATTTTCTGCTCTGCTGTTACTTAAAGGAACTCACTGCTTGTATACCTCAATTGTTTCAGTCTTCTGTATGAGTACTTTTTGAGGTTTTATTAAACTTCTGCTACAATATATTTTTAATTCTGTCATACTTCATAGTTCATAAGTACCCTTCTCTTTAATAAATTAGGTTAAAGAGCACTGATGCGGGAGCTCAGAAGTCAGAAGTCTGAGAAATTGATTATGCTTATCAATCAATTGATTATGTTATATCTCTCACTTGCCATCCTAATTCCTACTAAGTACTAACCTAGTAGTCTTTCATTACCAATAGACCAGATCGTGGCCTACTCGTATGGTTGTTTCGGGGTTAAGGTAGGAATAGACAGCATTCTACTTGTGCTACCACTAGGGTTCTGAGTCTTACGACAATGTCAGAGAAAAGTGTGCCATTGCCTTGTAATAGGTTAGGTATAAAGTTGTGCACTTACAAATTGCAACTAACATCAACAACAACTATCTACAATACAGACGACGTATCTTTCAGTAAAACAATCCCTTGTACAATCGCGGTTCAGCATACCATAAACAACGAAAAGTCCAGACTAGTAAATACAATCCCTTGTACCTTTCATATCAGTATCTGACCATATAAATGGTGCACAGACAAACAATGAAAAAACAATCACAATCAAAAACATCCAGCAAAAAATAACACAAACAAATTGTCTAATTAACAATTTTCACTATCATAAATCAAAACTATAACATCATTTTCCATGTCATTCATTATACAACAATCAAATGGTTCAAAATTAAAATTAAAATCATTTACCATTGTCGGGTACTCTAACTCATGATAATAACTATTTGTCGCTTCAGCAACATCCAAAACTCCACCTACAAAACCAAATTAAAAATAAAAAAAAAAGACCAATTAACGCTTAAATTCAACAACAACAAAAAATGCAAAAATTAAAAATTAAAAAAAAACGAATAAAAGACAAACCAGAGTTGATGCAATTGAGAACATAATCAGCACTGAGAGTATCAAGGTTGATGTCGGAAAGAGAAAGTGTGGGACCAGAAGAAGTACGAACTTGTTTGATTAAATTTGATGATGAAATTATGAATTCAAGCAGTTTCTGACGATCACGCCGATAACGCTCTAACATTATTGATGAATTTTCCTCCATTTTCTCAAATTATCAACAGAATGTTTCAGAGAAGAGGAACTCAGCCGTGACTTGGTGGTGGAGCTTAGCCAGGGGAGTGAAGAAGGCGTGCGACACGCTTTTGACGAGTTCTGTTGTTGTTACAAAAGCATTGAAACAAAAACAGAAGGCTTTATTATGTTATGTTGTCCGTTACTTTTTTGGCTTTGGTTGTGTTTTGATTTCTTTCTTTTTATGTGCCTCTCTTTTTTACTTTGATGGGACTTTGACGAAAACACCAAATCATTTTTTTTGAGAAAGTTTCACAAAATGGGTGCTGCTTTTGAGAAAAATAATACTTCTGTTTTCTTTTACTTGCAACACTTCCCTAAAAAAAATGTCATAAAAGGAAAGTTACTTTAGAAAAAAAAAAAAAAAAACTATACTATTTCCCTTATTTAAAGCACATGACCCATTAAATTACACTCCTAACAACCACTCATCTTATTTTAAAGTTTATTAAGGATGTGTTGCATCTAAAAGAAAACGGAGGAAGTAATAATACTTGTACTATACAAAGTATTTTTATGATTTTGTGATATTTATAATTATAGCTATAATTTTTCAAAAAAAACAAAACAAAAAAAATAAAAATATACTGTGGAGTACCTCCGTTTCATATTATTTGTAACTTTAGAGAGTGCACGAACTTCTAGACAAAATGCGGTTGTGAGTGTAAAATAAAAAGATAGTATTATGGATGCATGTGATGAGGAAAGAGATAGACAGAAATGACAACCTTAAAAACGAAAGAAAACATTTGTTGCAAATAATGTGTAGCATATATTTTTGACAAAAATAACAAATTATATGAAACAGATGTAGTAGCTAATCATTCACATTTATTTAAAAATTAAATTGTAAATCCTTAGTGCCTGTTTTCATACGATTATTTGCAGTTCATTTCAGTTCAGCTATAATAAGTTCAGTTAAGTTAAGTTCAATTCAGTTCAGTTCAGCTCTAATCAGTTCAGTTTAGCTCCTAATTTCCTTCTCTTATAAAAAATACAGTTCAGTTCAGTTCAGTTGAGCTTTAATAAGTTCAGTTCAATTCAGGAAAAAATAATAAAAAAAAATAAAAAAAAATAATAATAATAATAATATCTCGGCTTCCCACTAATTTATTGTAGGTTGTATGACTTTTTGTTTTTGAGATGATAACAACAACAACAACAACAACAACAACAATAATAATAATAATAATAATAATAATAATAATAATAATAATAATAATAATAATAATAATAATAATAATAAATGAACAAAATCATTCACTAATCACAAAATTTTATATAACTAAAATTTTTAACATAATTTTCATCATTTTATATCTAATATATCTTAATCCTTAATTTTGATAATAAAAATATGTCAACTATATTTTTAGATTTTTTTGTTTATAAATAACTAATCAAAATGATAGTTTAATAATGGCTACTGTAAATTACCGTGTAGGAACTACCCTACTTATTCAAAACTTTAGTGTCATATTTTAACTTGTCAAATGTGATTGATTTGTTAATGATACGTACCATTTCAATTATGATTGTAATCATCATTTATTTATCTTTCCATCCAGCCCAATTGAGCTACAAAGGGTATAATTGATATTCTAAGGTACATCACAACCTTCTCCCTTGACTTATATAATTGATAATATATGAGTATGGGAAATTCTCTTTGGTGATCTCCAACTTTTTAATTTTCTAAGTTATAAACATTTTAAAATTTTATTATCAATGGTAAATCTAAATTTTTTATGTTAAATCAACTATAACATTAATGATAAATTTTAACAAAGATATAACATAAGTAAAGATAAGTTGCTCATATGGGTATTGAAGCAATCTCATTACGAGCTAGCCCCAGTTACTCATTTTGAGTAACAACATTTGTTACTCAAATGACACAAATTGTAAATAATTGTAAATTTGACAACATTTTATTATTTTTGTTGCAGACTCATCCTTCATCCTCCTTGCTTCCACCACCATCACAACCACCACCATCATCACAGCCGGTCTTCTTCCCCGTCGACCTCTGATCTACATCTTCCCACATTGACCTCCTCTTCTTCGTCCTTTCTCAAGCCCACAACACCGCGACTGAACAAAACAAATGCTTCCCCAATCTCCACCCATCTCCATCTTCCCCGATCTCCACCCACCTCCCCTAATCTCAACTCACATTGGAACAAAGCGAAAACCCTATAAATGAAGGGTGAAATTAAGGACATGGTCAACCCCAAAGGGAAGGGTGACCATGTCCTCTATTGAAGCTCCCTCAATTGAGATTAATTTCAAAGATGGGCAAAGAAGTGCTGATGGTGGTGGCTGTTGTAATGTGTTCGGCAAAGAGATGGTGGTTGTGTTGTTGGTTGTGGTGGTGAAGATGTGAGGTCGGGGTGCAACACCATGGTTGTGATGGTGGTTGTGGTGGTGAAGACTTGAAGTAGAAGAGGAGTGAGGAGAGAGAAAGTTGAATGGTAGTATAGAAATTACAATAGTACCCCTTTGAATAGCATATTTTGCTACTCATGTTGAGTAACTTGGATTTCCTCATTACATGTATAGCAACCATGAAAAAATTCATTTACAACATTAAAACCCTTAAAGAACATATAATTGGTATATATAATTGGTATATTTGTAGAATTGTAGGGAGATTACAGTCTCAAGGCTTATTCTATCTATAAAATAAAAAAATAAAAAAAAAAATAAAAAAAAAAATTAAAAAAAAGCAGATATGAAGATATGAACTTAAATTTATTTACACATGCAACATTTTTACCTATTGCTATGAATTGCACAACAAAATCTTCACTCCTAAAAAGTCTAAACTTCTCCATCTGGACTGTAACGCTTCGATATATCATACTTGCAAAGCGGGCAGGTAGAGTTGATATGTAGCCACTTCTCCACACAAGAGCTGTGGAAATGGTGACCACAAGGAAGCTCTCTAAGCTCAATGCCATCTTCATATGCAGATAAACAAATGCAACATTCCTGACATAGATTTTAGTTGCATTAAATCAATAGGTTTATTTAAAATTTCATATATGAACAGGAGATTGTTAAAATCCATTGAAGGAATGCCTATAATTGTAACAAATAACAAGAACAATAACAGCCCTTCTCTTCTCAAAAAAAAATAAAAAAAAAAAAAAAAAAATAAGTAAAGAAGTTTGATGACTTCCAAAGAAGACAATCACCTTAGCAGAATACGGGATAGGTTACTCCCACAAGGCCACAAAAAGACATTCTTTCCAAAAGATTACACCAACAGATTAGAATAATGACTAAGACAGCCACAGAGAGCAATAATAACAACGGAAAATGAGTAAATGTGTTCTAGCAATAGGGTTGACGTAAACAATGAACTGGTAATAAATTAAGGAAACAAATCAAGAGATAACAGAAGGAAATAGAAAAATACGACTGAAAAGGCAATGAAGGAGCTGAAACAGCTCTACCAAACTGTACATACTCTATAGCCTTCGAGGCTTTATGAGTGAAGTTGTGTTTGGTCACCTATCCCCAAGTCTCAGGTCCTCTTCTTCTTTTTATTTAACCAACTGATCTTGCTACCCTGAGACCTAATCACTAAAGATCGGGGTATCATTTCCTAATGTGTCCATCTTATGCAAACCTAACTTTGTGCTTCATGTCTCCAATGACTGCCACTTTCACTAATTCCAGATTCCAAAGCACCTAATTTTGTAATTTTGTGATCCCTAGCAGGGATGCACTTTATGAAAGGTATCCACACCTCTGCTCTACTTCATTTGCGCTTTATTCTTAACTAGCTAGCAACCTAGAATTTTTCACCATACCTAATACCACCGCCATTTCTTTAGACCTTCGATTAAAGTTTTAATGAGAACTTTAGGCAATTCCCCATTCATCAAGTTGCCATTACAGTTGCAGTTCCAGATATAACCTTCTACCTTCTGACTCTGCAGTAAGTCCAAAGTTTGAACCTATAGTTCACGGTGGACCTACCCCAACCATCCTAAAAAGCAATGCAATTAGAAAACATATGCCAAGGAAGATAGTCTTCATTGACACCCAAAACCATATCCAAAACCAGAACAAAAATAACTTAATTCGACAGCCAAACTGTAATCCGTATATTGTTCAGAAACTGTCACTCTAGGTGTCATTAAGAAACAAACACCCTTCCCTAAGGTTCCTTCCCCAATCATATGTGCGCCCTCAAATTACTTGAATATTCATTTCAAACACCTCCCCATGACCTCTCTATCACTCTATTTTCTGTATGGACTGTAACACCGGACTTCTCTGGAATGGCAGAACAACTACTTAATTACTCTTAAACCAGAGACATATCCTTCCAAAACTCACCAGATAATTTTGATGACAGTTAAATTTAATTCCAAAACGACCCAAAAATAGAAGGAAAAATCCTCTCGGCATTAGACTAATTATCTTATCTTTAAAAACAAAAAGGCAAGCGTCACTAAAAAAAAGCTAACAGACAAAGAAACTTTGATTCAAAATTATCTTATCTTAAAAAACAAAAAGGCAAGTGACACTAATATCTTATTAAGTTTACACGTTCATACACACACTAACACAAGCCCCATCTTTATAACTTTGCACTGACAAACTTAGCTTTCACTCTGCAGCATAGGATTGGTTAAGAACTTAAGATTGTAGCAGAGATTTAACATGAATCCTGGGAGCAGCATGGTTCCTACAGTGGCAGTTACTAAAAGGGCTTAAGGAAGACTCTTGCGTTGGTGCATTACTCTCATCACAAGTTAAACTTACCCTTTGGTGTGCAATTAGGAAATAAGCATACAAAAATTCTAGGAATGTCAAGTACATAACATAGAAAGTAAGATGACATAGAATGGTATGTAAATAATAAAACATACAGCATCTTCTGCATTAAGAGTACGTTCAATAGGACATTCTGTTCCACACTCCTTCATTATCCCTCCACTTGGTTCTTCTGTTTCCTCATCATTTTTATTCTTGCTATCATCCCTGTGGAATGTATATTTTTTTAAGAGATCAATATCTTCTTTGGATGCTCCCGCCTGCTTCAAACCGCAGCAAATTTATCACCATTGGGAATATACAGAAAAGAAAAACATGCCAAGTGAACTAGTAACAGCAATAAATTTCAGCAGCAGCAATAGCAGAAAGTTCTAGTTCATGAATTTGGCCTATCATCTTATGATTAGCAACAGCAAAAACCATTACATCACGACTAAAAAATATCCACTAATTAAGTAAAGATATTCAAAGCAACTTTAAGCATTTGGCCTATCATTTTATGATTAGCTGTCTGTTATTACCTCAAATAGGACATAAGAAGAAACCTAGCAGAT